TTAAGGGAAAAGGAGAATTCACCAAGGCTTTCTAACCTGCTATTAACTGAGAGCCAACCCAGACACGTCGTCAAGAGCTGAGACCAAGTTAAAGACTGGATCAGCAAGAGGGGGCGTGTCTAGTTTGACTACTTGGTCTCAAGAGCAGGCATCCAATGAAAACCCACATGTGAATTCTCCATCTCCCGTACTGGAGAAACTAATCAAGGAGAGAAGCAACCTAGAACTAAGGAGAAACTTCCTGACAGTTAGAACAATTAACCAGTGGAACAACCTGCCTCCAGAAGTGGTGAATGCTCCAACACTGGAAGTTTTTAAGAAGAGACTGGACAGCCATTTGTCCGAAATGGTATAGAGTTTCCTGCCTGAGCAGGGGGTTGGACTAGATGACCTCCAAGGTCCCTTCCAACTTTATTATTATTATTATTATATACCTCAGTGAATCACTGTGACCGTGTGAACACCGGTTGTTAAAGCAAGCATAACAGAAGTGAAAACCCATTGTTCATTATAAATGCAGTTTTGGTAAAAAACCAGAAGTGCCGGTTTTCGGCAAAGCGGCTGTAAAAAAGTCACATGACCATGCGACACGGCAAAGGGCTGTAAATCTGTCCTTGTTGCCCAACGCCCAAAGTACGGTCACGTTGATTCCCAACGGGATACCCAATCCTCCAAATTTCTGATGTTTTTCAGGTAGGCTGTAGCGTTAAACAGTCACTAAGCATCATCAATGGAGGAATAGCTCCACATAAAAAGGGCTGATTCCACGGTCATGGCCATCTGGGCCTTTTTTGACTGACGTACACACCACCACCACCCCTAAATGTCCTCTGATACAAGAATCTTTTCTTTTTTAAGGGACAGAAAGTGTAACATTCAGGAGATGGGTGGAAGAAGGTCGAGGTCTTAACGTTTTCCTCCCAAGATCAAACTCAACCGTTTTTCACATTCTGAGCATTTTCCTGGGGTTTGCCCAGAGGGCTTTTTCAAAGGGGCAATGAGGTTAGGCTTCCTGATTACATTTCGCCCGCAGTCCAGACACTGGCTTGGTTGAACTTTGGTGTGGACACTCTGATGCATCCTAAGGTGAGAGCTGTTTTTGAACGTTTTGCTGCAGAGCGGGCATTCAAATCTCTTTTCTTTCAATGGCATTTGCGCATGTTCAGGATCCAAACTCGGGGACGGTCCCTGGGTGCACTCAGGACACTTTGAGACCTTTTCCGCCTGGTCCCCATGCTGTCCGAAACCTTTCCCGTGCTCTAACCACCTTGCAACATCTTCTCCCACGTGGACCTTCTGATGCCGCAAAAGGACCGAGCTGGAGAAGAAACTTTTCCCACAATCCGTACACACGTAGGGCCTCTGCCCTGTGTGGATCCTCACGTGCACCAGAAGGCTGGACCTCCTGTCAAACGTTCTCCCGCAATCAGAACACAGGTAGGGTTTCTCTCCCGTGTGAATCCTCTTATGCAACAGGAGGTGTGAACTCCACCGGAAACTTTTATCACAATGAGAGCAACGGTAGGGTTTCTCTCCCTTGTGAGTCCTCTCATGAGATTTGAGATCCGAGATGTTTCGGAAGTTTTTTCCACACAGTAAGCACTTGTGTGGCTTTTCTCCAGTATGGATTCTCTCATGAGCTATCAGACTGTGTCTCTGGCTAAAGCTTTTCGTACAATGGGAACATTTGTGCGGCTTCTCTCCTGTGTGGACTTTCTGATGCGCAAGGCGCTGCAA